TTTGAAAAAAGCTATTATTAGAAAAGAAAAAGAAAGACTGAAAATAAATTCAAAGAAAGCAAAAAAAAGAAAATATAGATAAAGAATGTAAAATGATCAAAACAGATTAAAAAAAAATGATAGCAAGTCTTTTAAATAAACATTATAAAAAAATAGTACTTGATGAATTTATCAAACAAACAGAAGAAGAAATAAATCTGTTAACAAGCTTAAAAGATGTTAAAATAAAAGTAGCAGAATATTACAAAAAACAATTTAGGAAAAGAAATACAAATTAGAAGAGATGTCAAAAGAGTAGAAAAAAATATATAAACTATGAAAAAATATTAAAAAGGAATAGTACACAAAAGTTAAAAAAAAAATTAAAAAAAAAGAATAAAAAGAAAAATAGCTTTAGGCATATTAAATATAAGTTATATTCTGATAAAATAAGCAGAAAAGAAAATACAAGAAATATTTAAAAGCTTTGCAGACTTATGTTTAGAAGTAAAAAAGATATCAACTAAATGAAAAATAACACAAGTTTATCTAATACCTAAAAATGTTAAGTAAAAAAATAGTTTAAACAATATTTAACTAATAGCACTAATAGAAATATTTAAAAAAGTTGTAACAAAAGTGATAAAAAGAAGACTTACTAAAATGTTTATAAAAAAAGAAATACTTAAAAAACCAAACTAAGCAGGCCTCTCAGGCAACTTAACAGAACAACCAATATATATTCTTAATATGATAATAGAAGAAGCAAAAGAAAAAAATAAAGAAGTATAGATACTTCTGCAATATATAAAAAAAGCATTTGACTTAGTTCTACTTGAGAGTTTAACACTAGCATTATAAAGAGTTAAAGTGTCTAAAAGAACAATGAAATACATCTTGAACCTGTTTTATAGAAGGCAACTAAAAATTATCACAACTCATAGTCTAACAGAAGAGATAACAACAGAAGCTGGTGTAGATTAAAGAGAAATAATATCTTGATTAATATGTTATCTTTTTTATGATCTACTACTAGAGAAAGTACAAGAAAATAAAAACTTAGAATATATAGTAGAATAGCAAATCAAAAGAGGCATATAATGCAGCAATACTACAAAGTACTATCAAATAGCTATTACATATACAAATAACACAACATGAATTATAAATAATAAAAAATAGCTAATAAAGATATTAAAGATAGTAAAAGAATTTTTTAAGATAAATAATATAGTAATAAATAGATCCAAATCAAAGCTGTTTATAATGAATATAAAAGTAAGAAAAGAAGAAATAGAAGTGATCTTTAAAAAAAGCAAAATAACAGAAGAAACAAAGAACAAAATAGTTTGTTTACTAGGAATATAATTAAATAACAGAATAGATGAAGTGCTAGTAAAGAAAAAAGCTAAAAGAATAATCAGCCAAATAATAAGAGATCTTAGATATAAAAAAATAACAATGAGTCAGATTGTATATATAAACAATATAATAATAATACCAAAATTAAGTTATATGTTATAGCTAACAAAAATATTAAAAAGAAGTATAAGTAAAATACACCAACTAATAATAAGCTTAGTAAAGCAAAAAAGCAGATTATAAAGAATATTAAAAAACTGCATAATGGAATACAAAGATTTCAGAAACTGTAGAAAATTATAATAAGAATTAATAATAAAACAAATAAGTAACCTATTAGCAAGACTAAACAGACAAAATAGTTTTGAACAGTTAACAAAATTAAGAATAATACAAGGCTGCCAAAGAGCAAATTTAACAAAAAATATATAGAAAATAGAAGAGTTGCTAGAAAATATAAAAGGTTGAAAAAGTAACTTAGCTTGTTTAATATTATTAAAAACAAGAAAGCTTAATATAAATATAAGAACAAAAAGCAACTTATAAACAATATTTGGATATAAAACCAAAATAAAAGAACTTATAAATATAAGATTACAGAAAAGAAATAGTACTAAAATAAACAAAACAGGCTTAATATATCTAAATCAGCTGCTAAATACAAGAAAAGAGTGATTAATTACATGACAATAGCTAAAAAGTTACTAAGATCTATTAAATAAAGGAAAAAAATAGAATAGTTCAAAGCAATAAAACTAGAAGTGCTCTGTATATCAGAAAACAGAAAGCAATACAAATAAGAGAGAAGTATATCTTGAAAGATAAAAAAAAAAAAGAATAATAACACATAATGTACAGAATTATTGACAGTTAAAAAAGATAGTTAAAAAGAAAAATAAAAAATATTAGTAGAACATTGGCAAATGCAAAGTAAAAAAAATAAATTAGCTATAAAATTAACAGATGTAAGAGTTGTATAAGAAAAAAAGAAAATTGAGAAGATAACTGCCAGCAGTGAATAAGAGTAAACAACAGAATTAATGTGATTTCAGGTGTATTGATAAAAAAAGACAGCAACAAGATTAAGATAGCAATAGATCAAATAACAGAAATAATAAAGACAAACAAACTATAATGCAAATGACTTAATTATATCCAAAACTTCAAAATGCAAAGGCTTTTTAACTAAATATAAAACTAGCAAAAAAATATATATAGTTAAATAGCCTTTAATGTATACTACAAAGTTATATATTTTTTTTGCTCACTATATTATTAAATTTTTTTGTAGTTAGGGTTTTATTAGAGCCAATTTTAATAGTAATTGTCAAATTTTCAGCATTTGTAGAATTATATGAAACTATCTGATTGGTGACTATTATTGCACATTATCGAACATGATTGGCTGCATGTGATTTGTGTTTTCAAAAATCATCATCAAGACTTTTGTAAAAGAATTTTCTATTATATGATGTAATTTCAATCTATTTTTATCCTTTTCGACAGTTATTAGGAATCTTTTTAGAAAAGAGGTAAAGTTATTGCTTTGGAACAAGAAGCTATAATTTACAAGTTCAAATGTCAAGAAATTCAGACTCAAGCCCAAGAATGTAATATGTCAAATAATTGAATTATAATATACTATTAACTATTTATATAACAGAAATCTTGACTGAAAAAAAATTTTTATAACTTTTTTATTATTATTCTGTTATAATTATTATAAATTATTTATATATTAAAGATTTGGTTCTTTGCAATTGGTCTGTTAAACCAGTAAATTTGGTTTAAAAGTGTTTGTTATATCGGTAGTTAACAGTATTTGCCATAATTGCTGATTCACTTTGAAAACCTATATTTAAGCATTACAGTGTAAAATTCATAAGAAAATCTAGAAAATTTATCAAAAGAAGTACAAAGTAAAGTGTTTAAGGATTATAGAATGAGAATAAATAGAATATCTTGAAAAATGCAGACCCTAGTTCTAAAAAGAAGCAAGAATTAGTAGCATTAAAAGAACACCAATGTTCACTTCGTAAAACTTACAGTGATGACTATTAATGTTACATGATTAATCCTTCATCCAGTTTGCAATATATAAAAAAATTATCTTACAATATTAAATTATCTATTTTATTATATAATAAAAATGTGCTGAATTATAATCATAACATGTACTAGTGGAATAATCTGGCATTGTAAAATAATTTTATTATATATTATATGATCTTTTTTGCATTGCTTAAAAATAAAAATATTATGCATTATATAAGTACTGAATACAAAAATGATTGATTAAAAGGAATCAAGATGGTTGAGGTGAGTTTAGTTTTTGAAAAACTTTTATTAGACATTGAACTTATTGTATTAAAGTAAAATGATTTTTTTTAATGATCTAATGTCTATATTATTTAACATTGTATAGAATTTATTAAGTAGTTATGTTTTAGTATAGATATGTGTTACTGTATTACTGTTTAATAAACATTATAGAGCAAATGTAATAATATGAAAATTGTAATAGTTCAAAAAAAAAGCTATTATTTAAAAAGTTATAATTAATAAAGAGTAAAGTTTCATAAGTGGTTTCTAATTTGGCAAATACAAATGCAGGTAACTAAAGTAATTTTTAGTGTTGCCCAATTAATGATATATCTATTTAATTGAGATGACCAAGTATGTACATATAAGTACTGTTATTTATATTAGTCTTTAACATCAAAAATAATATGCAAAAAAAAAATACAACAGTATCGGCTGCATAAGCAGCCAATACAGTTGTATCTTCACAATATATATATCCAATTGCTCAGAATATAAATATTACTATATAATATTTTAAGCTTTGCTGGTGCATATATACCCTTATATGAACTAATCAATTATATTTATTAGTGCTCTTATATGAACTAATCACATGTATATTAAAATTTTTTTATTTAAAGTTGACCAATTTATTAATTGATAATAAAAAAGAAGTGCAGAAATAAAAATTCTTTACTTTTATTGATTTTTATTTTTTAATATATTGGGTTTTTTTTAAATTTAATTTTATATATTTTTTTATTTTATATTATTTTTTATTATTTTATTTTAGTTTACTAATTAACATCACCAAATTCTTCTAAAACACTTATAAGAACATGTTGATGTAATCAATACCATTTCACTGCAAAAACAGCCACCTTATTTGTAAGCCCAAGTTCATAAGCACTCATGTAGCATTCAGAATGATGTGCAAATTGGTGAATTTTCATTAGGCTAATGGATTTCAATACATGTAGTACAACTGCCTAAAGGCCCTTGAACATGTAGTCACAATAAAAATATGAATACCTTTTTGTTTCTGCTCAGAATGACTCAATATAATTAAGTTTACAATAGAACTTCAGATAAAACATACACATATGGCCTGCTGATTCAATAATCTAAAAAAATTATTAACATTAATAAGTTAAATTATCAACAATTTTTTTTATTATATAGCAACTTACCTCTTGTAGATGTGATTTTTGAAATGCAAAGTCAGGCTAGGCAAAAAGAATGTGTATTGTACAACAATTCAGATTATTGGATCTAAATTATTTTTTTACACACATCACATTTTTTTATTAAGCCTGATATCTACAATTCATGCTTATGAATAACTCGTCAAATACCTTTGGGTTTTACTACATCATAGATATCTGTGAACATTATGATATATGTTGAGCCATCAGGTTTTTGACCATTACAGAGAAGAGATTGTTTACCACTATCCTTCATGTTTATTCTTGTAACCACTAATACATCATCAGCAAATGCATTATGGTTGCAACTATTATCAAACAAAAACAAAGCAACCTTTCTCAGGTAAGTTTATTCAAATATTAGAATTACACATTTACTTACCTACTTAATGAGATCTTTACTTGTCTACCAACCATTATGATTTGTACCAGGATGCATAACAATACAGGCTTCAGTATATATAAGCCACTCATTATTAGATAACAAATTATTAATAGCACACTCCTTCTCTGAAAGTTGAAGATGCCAAATAAATTCACAAATAAAGTTACTTATATAGATACTAAGACCTTGTGACTTTTGACAAAGTTGGCTTTCATTTTCTGGACCTCAGGCCTTAACAGCACCATCCTTGGCATAAAATAATGACTCATTCTGGGTAATAAGAACAATTTCAGATAAAAGTAAAGGTGGAATAATCTGATCCAAATTTTTATCTTCATAAGTAACTATTCTTTTTGTAATTCTGCAAATTTTTGCAAAAATTCATGCCAATATGCTACTATATCCTCACATTCATAACCATCAAAAAATATATTTTTTGAATGATCTTTATATTGTCAACCAAGCCTATGCAACTATTCATATGCTGTTGTATATGAAATAGTTGTTTTTTTCTCTATTCCAAGAGCAGATATAACCTCATCCTCAATGAATTTTACAAATTCAGCAATCCTCAATGTAAATTTATATGTATGCAAATATTCAGTAACTCGTAATTTAAAATCTTCATGGAGAAGAAGAGTCTAATCTTTGCATGATGACCATATTTAGATATAATAATCTCACCTTTATTTAGCTACTGGTTTGCCTAAGAGTGAATAAACCATGCATGCCATGATCCTTTACTCAAGCTCTAAGAAAGAAATATACTTGCATCCATCTTGCTAAATTTCTGATTCTGAACCAGATGGAAATATTGACTCACCATTCTAAGCTGCAAATCATCACTCTTATTTTTTAACAATAAATCTAAAGATTCTAATGTAAATTTACTATTATTGTTATCACTACTATTGTATATGTCATCAAATGTAAAATTATAATTTTCAATATATAACTCAAAAACTTCAATATTCTTCAAAGAAAACATATTAGTAATCTTTTTAGAACCTGAAGCTGCTTTTTTTCAATATGCTCTCTTGTTGCATAATATTAATTCTGCATCATCTTTATATATTAGTCTACGTGAACTTGTAGTCCATATTTTTGTCTTTGCATTTTTAACTAATTGCTCTAATGTATTTTGTTGCAGTCCTTGTAGTTGATCCATGATGTCTTTACTATTAAACCAATTTTTCTCATCTTCTATTCAAAAAGTACTGAAACATTCATCACATTCATTGGGTTTAGCATCTAACAGCTCATCAGGGTTTTCTATTTGCATCTTACTAACACTTCCTTATACTCGACAGATTCAGGCTCTAATTTTTCAACTATCCTAGATTCTAATTCTTTAACTGGTTCAGACTCTAATTTCTTATCAGAATTTTTTGCTTGCTTTCAACATTTTCTAATAGCTTCTAGTAATTGTCTTGCATGTTTACTTCTTTTTAGCATTGAAATACTGTTAAATTTAAAAATATCTAAAATATTAGTTATAATAAGTTGTATTTGTAGCTAGTTTAATATTTCAAAAACAAATTAATTGTAAAAAATTATCTAAAACTTAAAAAAAAAAAATTTGAGAAAGTAATTAAATACTTATGAAAGATGCCAAAATTAGTACATAATTAAATGATCTTTTGATTTTCAGAAGAGTTGTTTAAATTAACAATTTATTAACAATCTTTTGTAAAACATTTTCTAATTTGACTAATTCTTCCAAACTTAATTTTTTACTTTTTCTTACTTTTACAAAATAATAAAAGGAAAAAGACCCACATATATTTTTTTAAATATGTATTATGTTTTTTACATGAATTAATATAAGTGATAGGCAGAGAAAACTGGGATATCTAAAAATAGATTTTTTTATACAAAGAAGTGTGGACTTTAATACAACACAGAAAAATTTGATCCAGAGCTAACTCTTTTTCAATTTCATGTTTTACTTATAACTTTTTAAAATACTGCACTTCTCTGTATAAAAAAAACTATTTTTAGATATCCTAGTTTTCTCTGTCTATCACTCATATAATATTTAAGAATCTATAGTTTGTTATACTAAAGCTCACTGTAATAAGATCCATAATATGTATATAAAGTTTTAAACACTTATTATTAATTCTATTCTTATATATTAGCATTCTTTATATTTTAAAATATCTTTAACATAGCTTAGAAATTACTTTATCTATTTATAAAAAAAAGGTTGTACTTTTAGTTTTTTTTAATAATCCAACTACATTTAACATTTTAGTAATTACATCTAGTTCTATAATTGCAGTATACTTAGAAACTTTACCTTTTAAGTAAAGTACCTTTAGATGTAGAATTATTTGAAGAAGGTGTTATGTTTAATTTTATTTTTTTATTTGTGAAATTTTTATTTTTTATCTATAAAATTTTACATTCAAAAAAAGTACTTTAAACTGTATAAATACAATTATAAATCAGTGTGAATTCATATATAAATTCATATATAGAATCCATCTTTAACAAATCTGATCATAATGATATCATGTCTTGGCAAAATTTATAATTAATTGCATTTTCAAAGAGATCGCACAAGCAACTTTATCAGTAACTTTATCATGCAACAACTAAATGTTAATGAAATAAATGTAGTAATAACAGCATTTGATAAAATATTAGTATATTGCTCAAGCATTAATTGCAGTTCTTATTTTGATTGATTATAGTAAATGAGCATCATTATGTTTATTAGCTAATCACATAGAGAATAACATTTGAGCAAACTTTGCTTATTTGTTTCATTATATGTAAATATAATTATAGTTGTATACAATTAAGATTGCAAGCTAATCACATTGAGGTTGAAGCTTAAGAACACCCTTAGACCATTCTTAAACTTCTCCTTCAAAGTGTTTACTGAATATAATAAAATTTAATTGTGACTATTACTTAGCTCAAAAAAAATTTGAAGCTATGATTACTAATTTTTTTCAGAATAAGGGTGCTCTCAAGCATCTCTCTCAATATGATTAACTATTAAATGAGGTTATGCACAAGCATCATAAATAATTAAGCTCATTCTTATAGCAATTCTGCTGAAGGTTCATATTGTGAAATGTAAATCTTAAATTTTAGCCAATAAATACACCTTTATAATAAAAAAAGGTGGTTTAGACTATCTTTTTTTTTATTGTGATGAAAAGCTTACTTAACTGTTTAAATTATGTTCTGCTAATTAAATATTGAGTACCAATCTATTAATTTAGGTGCTTAAGAATACTCTAAAATCTGCATTTTGAACAATGAATTTTTAACAATTCATTTTTCATTTAACCACATTAAACACTCAATTAATTGTAAGGATTTAAACAACATCTTATTATTGAAAACCAATTTTATGTTATGATAAACTATCAAAAAAGTAAATTAATGAAATGCTTATATGGTGAATATAACAAAAGTAAACTGTGCATTTCAAAATGCATTCATATATGTACGTATACAGTCATCTTCCCATATAATCACACAGTTGGGCACATAGTAATTTTTTTAAAAAATGTGCTTATAAAGGAGTTGTGCTTATATGGAGGGCTATTTCTTATAAATTAAATCGTAGCTTAGCCCAAACGTAAATGTGATTACATATGATGTGATTATATGAAAGGTGACTATATGGAGGGATAACTGTATAACAAAAATAAATCATGCATTTGAATTTATATATATGTATATTTTGTATATTTTATATCAATTACCATCAACTTTCTTTCTTGATCTTGCATTAATTCATTTTTCTATTCAGCAAATTTTGGAGCAACCTTGCTCATAATTTGTGTTAATTAATTTTTCTATTCAGCAAATTTTAGAGCAATTATACACTTGATTGGTCAATAATCATGTAATGATTGGCAAAAAATTCAGCAGTAGCTTAGCTATTTGATGTGATTAAGCTGTTCATACCATAGTAATTAGAGAACAAAAACTCGAAAAACTAAGAGTAATAGAAGAGTTAGAAGTAGAGTTAATTAGATGACAAAAGTTAAAAGTTAGCATTAGTCAAAAAATAATAAAAGTTTTAAAAAGGAATATAATAAAAAACAAGAACAAGTATATAATATATACAGATAGAGTAGCAAACTTGAAGACTAAAGAAGATACAAGAAGTAGAAATAGTATAGGCATAGGATAGATGTAAACAGATAAAACACAAGAATATTTAGAAGAAAAGGAGCTAGCATTAGATCTAGAAAGATAACAAACATTAACAATAGCTAAGTTAGTAGCAATATGGGTAGCAATTTTAACAATACCAAGAAAAAATCAAGTAAAAATATATACAAATAGTAATGCTATAATAAGAATATTAGTAAAGTTTAAAACAAGTATACAGAAATAAAATTATTAAAAAGAAGAATACAATATAGGTAATAAAAATTAGAGAGCCTATTATAACAAAGAACACTTAGAATATGGTTTGTTAAAGTTAAAAGCTATAGTAAAGATAGATAAAATGATAAAACTAATAATCTAGCAAAAAAAGGTGTAACAAGTAAAAAGATAATATAGGCTAAAGAAATCAGTTGCAAAGAGATAAAGTACTGCTTAGAGTAGAAAAACCAACATACTGACATACTAGCAAAACTGCTATGCAAGTTAATAATGAATACAAGATTAAGAGCAGAATAGAAAAAAACAAAAGCAATTAAAAGATTAGAACCAGAAACAAAAATTATAATTTATAATTGAACATATTTTTGAAAAAGACTGAAGATATCTAAAGGAGTACATTGTACAACAAGAAGAAGTAGTATTAAAAGAAATGCATTTATAAAATGCATAATAGATAAACTTTCAAGCTTAGAAGAACTTAATAAAAAAAGACCAGATATATACACAATAATAAAGTACCAAGTATGCCAAAATAAAACAAAAAAAACATAAACACATTTGGTAGCATATAAGAAACAAAGAAATTTTTGAAAAAAAATTCAAAAGGTAACTATTACAATAATCTGAAAGTGGTTAAAAGAAGAAGAAAAAGGTTAGATTTCTTCATATATATTATATATAGTGTTTTTTAGAAAAACAGAAGCACTGAAATCTATTACACAAAAATTAACTAAAAAATTCATTTATCAAAAATGCTTATAACTATTTTTTTATTAAAACAACCTATCTTAGGCTTCTAAGTAAACTTGTTCAGCTTACTATTTTATATATAGCTGCAAATATCAAGCTTTTATGCTTCAAACTTATTGAGAAAACTGTACTGATAACCTTTGGCTTCCAGTTAATAATTTTTAATCATCTCATAGTTTCTACTGCCTTAACCTGTTCTATATTTTTAAGTAAAGTTATAGTATACATTTACTTAGTCAAAACAAGCTCCAAACAAAGATTTTTGATCTAATATTGATTAAACTACAACTAAACTCAATATTTACACTCTTGCAAAACTTCTTTTTTTAACTTTTGTTCCTATCCTGTTCCCTTTCCCCTTTATACAGTTTTCTTGTAACCATATAATTATTTTCTAATCCATATCTTATTAATTTACACCAACATTTTGTAATTAACCTATTAATAGAAACTCATTTATATAATCAATTACTTTCATATTTAGTCTTTATTAATATTGCACAGTGATTTATACTACATATTCTACTTGTATACAGTATTCAAGTTACATTAGTAACTCTATTTACCTTTGTTATACTTTTGTGTTATTTTAGTGATACTTTTAAACTATAATCCTTGTATCTATTTACAACTCTTATAAATTTAATTATTTACAACTATATTCTCTATTTAGAAAATATATCTAAGTCTAAAATCTTTACTTAGCTTATTATTTTTCAACAATATCTACCTTAAGTTAACAAGAACCAGACATAGCAGACATTGATTATTTCTACTAAAACTTTTTTAATAGTTTTGAAATTGCCCTCTATAAAAAGAACAATAATAACAAGGCTTGGCCAATTTCTCTCAAAGTTCAACCTACTTTCTGCTTAACAAAAAATCTTTGATCAAATAAGATTACTTACTTTTTTAAAACTTCTACCTCTATCTTTGTAATTACTTACCTCTGTGGCAAATATTATATCAAATTCATTTCAATCTCTAATACCAATTATACTCAAGCTACTGAATTTACAACTGCTTATATCAATAGCAATTCAAAAAAAATTAACAAAACAACTCAAGAACTTATGACTAACTTCTCTTCTTCTATCGACAGTGTTCCCCATCTCCTACACCTGATGTACATTACCATACTTGCCCTAAATGCTCTCTTCCAATTGGAAG